ATTTTGTAAAAACATTGACTTATATTGAACTCCTTACTCCTTTGCTTCTCCCTGTGACTCTTCTATGTGATTTAGAACCCCTATTTGTTATAATCAGCCCACCAAATTTAATTCAAGAACATGAAATTCAGACTGTTCATCACTGGTTGTCATTTTTATTTTCTCTTGCTTATTTCCCATATTCTCTGCATTCAAACAGAGAAGTTTCCAAGTTTATTATTTTGGAAGTTTTTATTTCTTCTAATTAGTTTCCTCCTCCTTTCAAGTTTTAGTACATGCCAGTTCTTCTCCTACTTAGGACACCTTCCTTCTTAATTTCAGTTCCATTTAATGACTACTGCAAGCTTAGAAATCATGAAGAGTTGTTTTTTCAGGAGAAGTTCCCACAATGGGAGGACAGTTCACACTTGAAACAAAACATGCATTTTTCTCTTTTTCTTTTCTTCCCACATATTTTTTCCCCAGCATGTTTTTCTTATTATGTCAGCATGCTTTGGCCTCTGCATCCCTTTCAGGAAAGACATATCATACTACAGATAATGCAATGCAGTGCTGATTGTAGAGTGTGGAAAAACATTTTGGTGTCCTCCCTGACACTGTTGGGGAGTGAAATAGATTTGTTCACTTTCATATTTGAATGGTTAGACTAGGAGATACTTTGTCATTAATACCAGGGTTTCAAAGCCCCCTTATCTTCTGGCAAATTATAAAAAATTTTTGTCACAGTGCCATGTATTTTTAACTAGCTTGTACTTCCTCTGCTGTACACACAAAGGCCTAAATGTTCAGAGATCTGCAGTACAAATGTGCATGTAGCCTTGCATTATTAATGCCTGTAGCCTCCATGGAGCGGTCTAGAAGTCTTGAGACTTACACTCAACCAGAAGCACTTAAATCCAGCTTCCACCCAGAGATTCTTCTCTTTGTTGTGCTTATAATTAAGAAAAAGCAGAAAAACAAAATGTACCAACACATGCTTATCTCTAATTTGATATCAAAGGCCTAACATGCAGATATTCTAAATACCCATTAAGTTGCTTGTGACTTCTCAAAACTGGGCCTTAGATGTTTTAAAACACCTAAGAATTTACAACAGAGAGAGGAAACAGAACAAGTAACATTAACCTCACACTTCTCTTCCACAAAGCCTAATAAAATAAATTTGCCTTTTTAATTTAGGCTAATCTGTGATAACTGCACTGAGTACTGTGCCATTCTTCCACCCCTTCTCCCTTCCACAGCATGTGTTAAACTGGGCAAGTCAATGAGTAATGCAAAATGAATGTCTGCAGAACCTAAGCATTCTTTCTGTAGCCTCTCAGAATTTAAATCTGCTTTACTATATGAAAAAGTCTGATGTTAGAAAACCACGACACACATCTGGGTTTATACTCCTTCCTATTATATAATTCTAAAATAATTTTTAAAATAGTACACTAATAAGGAGTCCAACACAGTAAACAAGTGAAATCAATAGTTTACATGCTTAATCAGTCATTGATTTATACTGCAGATGGAAGTGAGAGGACAAAATCAATTGAGTATGCTGGCCCTAAGTTTAAAAACGTCTGAAAATTTTGCACAGACATCTTTATGTGTGCATATCATTTTTCCACACACCTGTGTGCAGACAATTGCTAAGGTACTTAATCAAGATGTGTCAATGACAGTTTATCCTACCTGAGTATCTGTCCTAACAAATTACTTCTAATAACTTTACATGACTCACTGACTGTGATCTCTTCTCAACCTTCTCCATCTCTCCAACATGCTTGTAAACATAAGCATTCCCAGAAAATATAGCACAGCTTTAGAGTTTCTCTCTTGATTAAATTTATCTCTCCACAGAGCCATAATATATATAACACAGTCACATATGCATACCTATGTGAAAAGGGATTGTCTTCTAGAGTCACAATTTTTCTCTTTTTTTCTATTTTGTGAGGATGGCAAAAAGGAGCAAAAGTGTAACTGAATCCTTTTCACAACCCAGTCAGTTGCAAAGTTGCCCCACGTCCCAGAATTTAACCAAAAGATAGCAGCCTTCCATTCACTATGCCTCTGTCTCTGTGCTTTGTATGGACAGTTCTCTAAAATTGGTCATAATAAGGAAAACAAAGGACTTTTAAACTACTGTCCTTAGCCTGATACAAATCATTCTGCTTGTTTAATCCAAGGAGGTTTTCAGAATTAAACATGTCCATGATATGACATTACTCTTTGTAGTTCAGAATTTGTGTCTTTGCTTGCTGAAATCCTGTCAGAGGAAGGCTATGCCTAAGAAAGACCACACTAACTTTTAAAAGATCTGACCTGATAACAAAAGAGGAAAAAAATTCCAGAGGCAGAATAAATCTATTATTAGATCATAAAATCTATTTCCCAAAAGAACATGAGATATTTCCCACGGAGAAGGTGCATCGGATTCTGAATTAATACCATCCTTACCAAAAATGTGAAGAAAGACAAGGGCAAACAATAACCCACAGATTGCACAGTTTTTAGTAGCTATAAATATGCACTCTGTAAATATATATCAGCTACAATCTTCTCTATCAAAACATTGTTTAACTCCCTTAACAGCTGTCTAAAACAAGTACAACCTTCCATAGTACCTAATATTTGGAATATAAAAATCAGTGTCAGAAAAAACAAGGACTGCATACAGGGAAGAGTCACATTTTTTAATAGAGCAATGATTTAGAAGTATTAATGTGAGATGAAACTTTAACTGGTCTCATCTTTCACAGATGCCCTTTAAGGGAAACATCTTGACATTTTCTAGCCTTTCCAATTTTGCTATCTTCCACACTGCTGCTTATTGGGGAGTTACTATGCACACAGCTCATATAGGCTGCCTGCATCTGCCAATTTCAACATGCGTGCTATAGCAAGATCCCCAAGATCGCAGGAGGACAGTGTTCCCCCGTTGTCCCCAAGCTCAGTATGTCAGAGAAAGCCCATCTTTTCTCTTGTTGCATGATATCATAAAATGAAGATGTGTTTGTCAACAAGAAGGGTAAAGAGTGGATTACAATAAAATGTAAATCATCATAAATTACAATATCATTTGGCAGAAAAGCAGAAGACGAACTTAATCTCTGAGAAGTTTAGAAGGGGATTATACTGGCACAGATGCTTGTGAGGCAAGACTTGGCACAATTAGCATTCTTATTGTGTCACTCACTTGGTTAGTCCTGCAATGGGGACACCTCTTGAAGGGGTCTATATTGTTGACTCTCTTAGATATAACCTATCTACTAACTTGAATAACACCAATTTGTTTGCTAATTCCAGACCTCATTCTCTGTTGCTACATAAATCTAATTTGATTGATAGTAGGCATGGACAAAAAAACAGTACTAATGATGCTGCAGATTCAGTAAACCCTGTGCAGAGGATAAGGAAATAAAGATTATGAATTTTCCTAGAAAACATACTTAATGTTTATTGACCTGAAGTATCCACTAGCCTTTTTTTTTTAAATAGTGAATGCTGTATCACAGAAGCAAATTAATATTAAGTACTAAGAGGGATCATTAATTTTTAAGATTACTGCAAATTTAAGTACGTCTAATAAAACATACCACAGTTTCTAAAGGCAAATTCACCCTTTAAAAGTGCCCTTTCTAAAGGACATTTTAATATTGCTCCTAAAATTGTGGTAATCTGTTAATTATCCAATTCTGGAATTCAGTTGGGTACTCAGATCTTCTTCCATTCATCTAATGTAATATTTACATTGGGCCAAATTCTGGACTCAGTGAGGTCATCGTGCTGCCATTAGCTTCTATGAAAAAAAGTTCAGTATCTACACCATAAGATTTGTTTAAAATTCATATTTTATGATTTATACTTTTATACTGTCTGCGTGGAAATGACAGACATGCATTTTCTACTAATTGAATTGTCATAGAATAAAGAGGGACGTGCAGGTCATACAGGATATGAAGGATACACAAATTTATTCCAAATCTATGTTTGAGTTCAGTAGAGGGAATTGGGTGAAATGCATTTTCAGCACTGAAATACTCTTGTTTATAGGCATAATTATTGGCAAGGCTCATTTGGTTTGGAAAAAGAATATATATGGGGGAAAATCCCCCCATTAGCAGTTACACTGAGAAATCCTTTGGAATAAAAATATACAGTTCTTATCTCAGCACTCCATGACAATCACAAAGCAGATTCTGTTATCCTTTCACAGATTGTGTCTGTGATGCTAACAGCTAAATATTCTAATAAGAGACTACTTTTCTATAAAGATTTATTTATAAGACCACTGAGCTAGAAAATAATCAGTCATAATAAACTTTAAAATGAACAATTGCAAAGACAGCCTTCGAGCCAATACTGTGTATTAGCTCAAAAAGAGACTGAATTAACTTAAACATTTACTTAATAGTGTATAATCTTTGACTTGCACAGATTTTCTTCATATGGTGTCATCCTCAAAGCCATCTGCTTTACTGAACAATTTCCATCACCAGTAAAAACATAGTGTACACCTTTGTGGTGAAAGTTTTACTAACTGTTATGCTATTATTTTATCCTTATGTTTTTCTTTTTTTTTTTTTTATTCTAACAGTAGCTGTATTAATAATATCTTCACTCCACTTACATTAATTTCCAATCTTATTTGTAGAAACTTGCTTCCAGGCAAAATGTAGCTTCTAGAGAAAAACCATATACAGTCAATATACTTCTTTGGCTTTTCTGTGACTAGAAAGAAAGATGACAAACAGGAAATTTGCAATATATGGGATAACAAAGGGGAAGATCTTTCAAAGCCCAAAGGGAAGGTTAGTCTCCCTGGCTCACCAAAAGCTTAGTTTGATATATTCTCTCTAAAATTTCAGATTCCAGTTCTGCAAAACCATATGTAACTCAACCCCCTTTAGGTAGATCAAATAAAAGACAGTTCCTGTAAGCTGTTCACATGAATAAGCATGAGAAGAATATGCAATAATAGAAGTAAATTCATAGAAATATTCTCCCTAATGACTCATCAATTTATCCTCACACATCTACAGGGTGAACCTGGAGAAGCTGGTAACCCTGGACCTCCTGGAGAATCTGGAACATCTGTGAGTATTTTGGTTTTGCCTTTACTATTAACCTTTATTATGGTGAACTAAGGTATCTGGTAGTGCTTACTTTAGAAAGCATTTGATCAGATCACTTGAGTACTTGTGTATGTTTTCTTCAAATTTTCAGTGAACAACTTATGCCTTTAAAATGCAATTTGTTCCCTTATAATTATAGCCACATCTTGTACTAACACCTAGAGGACAAAGCTGAAGACTTCCTAAGAGAGTACCTATTTTTTCTTCCAAAAGTATTAACTTTGACATGCATGTTTTTCTCTCTGAGGGCAGTTCATTGATGCAAACTGGGTGCAGATGTTGGCACTCGACCTGAGATTCACAGGTTTTTCCAATCTGAGGCTGAAGTCCTGATTTCCATGCCAGCATCTATTGATGAGTAACATTGCCCAGGTCTGAAAAACAGTTTTGCCATTGTAATCTTTTTTTAAACATTCAATTTCCAGATGACATTTCTGTGTTCGTATGTTTTCTACAGGGTCCAAAAGGTGAAAGGGGAGAAAAAGGTGAAGCTGGTCCACCTGGAGCAGCTGGACCACCAGGTGCTAAAGGACCTCCAGGTGATGATGGGCCTAAGGGTAACCCAGTAAGTGAGCTTAATAATTTTAACACAAAGCACTCTGAAGCACTGCTGAAGTTGTGCTACATATAGAACTGTACATAATTTTCTACATTTGAACTAAAATCATTATATGCTTCATAAAATATTTGTGATGATTGCTACCTGCTTGTCAATGGATGACACATTCCTTGTTTTTTTTCCTGATTTATCTAGGGCCCAGTTGGTTTTCCTGGAGATCCTGGTCCCCCTGGGGAACCTGGTCCAGCTGTAAGTAAACTTAAAAAACAGTTTTAGGTCCTAATCTTGGCTTGCACTAAATTCTAGTTAACCCTGCCTCTTCCTTGTCTGGGGATGAGGTCTTGCCTGTAAGATCTTTTGCTTTTCTGTTCATGTATTTCTTAAGGCTTAAAAAAGGTTTAGAAATCTTTAAAAAGTTTTGAAAACTAGTGAACTTAAGAAAATGCTCTGTAGAAAAATAGTGCTCTTATATTTGTATATGAAACTAAATTACTTAATTTAGCTGAATTTTGTATTTTGTTTATTTTCCTGTGAATTCTGTAGGGTCAAGATGGTGTTGGTGGAGAGAAGGGTGAAGATGGTGATCCTGGTCAACCTGTAAGTTGTTTCTGTCATTTTATTTCAGCTGCATGTTCTCTCCTATGCTAAAAAAGTATCTTTTGCCGAATCAGTGGTTTCTATACATTCATAGTGTTAAAAATATTTTCTAAATGGACGCTTTTTCTATTATACTGAAAAATATCTATTTATTTCCTTGTAGAGATAGAACTGCCCATATTATAGTCACAATCAGAAGCAAGAGCTCAATTTCTTTTAGAAGTAACCAATGATGTGTTAAGGATTTGTGCTGGAGCTGCTGAGAAGCACTAAAAATAGAGCAACCCTGAGCATAAGAAAGGAATGCTGCAGCCAAATAATCTTCATTAGCTGACCTGATGAAATGAAGCAAAACCTTGGTGTTTCTATTTTAAGAAAGTTAAGAAGTATCTGAGCAATACCCATATTAAGCATCAAAGTTCTTATATTTCTGTAATTCCCATATTAAAACACCATTAATTTAATTTTTTTATTGCAAAAAGATAGGGTTTCCATTTTGGAAAGTCTCTTTCTAGCTCTGAAGTTCTGATTATCAGAGAATTATCCTATACAGTACAGTTTGAAAATAAAAAATGCTAGTACATTGAACATATGGTTGTAAGTAAGTTATAAACTGGGGTTTACCTGCAAACTTCAGCAAATTAGTATCTGTACGTCTTTCTTAACAGTAAGTACTTTTAGAGTGTTGTGTTCCTGAAGAAAAGCTTATCAAACTGTTCAGCAACCCTGAAATATTTAAGAGTATCCCAGCTTACCAAGATGGAGTAGCCAAATGGCTATCAGCGCATAAAAGATTTTTCAACAGAAAGCCACCCACGGGGCAGCTAGCTCACAGATGTAAGTGAAAGATTTTAGCAAAAGTAACAACTTCAGCACCTGAGAAAGCAAGAAACTTCTTAATGGAGTTAGGCAGTAGGCTAAGACTGTATGTTACTTCTGTGCAGCCACTTTCGGGTCTGAAATGTTTTGTTGCAAACAAGAAAAGAAAAAAAAGAATGATTGCATTTTGTACAGTAACAAAAGCTGTTAAAAATTTCAAAAGACCACCCTAAGAAAGGATTTGTTGAATAAGCAGGTATACTTCTCTGTATATATTTATGGTACTTACTTTCCGTCCATTGCAAGGGGCCAACATATTGCAGATGTTTGTTGCATTTTATAAAGATAATAACTTCATCCTTTGTTACCACCGAGTTTATCATTTTCCACTGCAGGGCCCCCCAGGTCCTTCAGGTGAAGCTGGCCCACCTGGTCCACCTGGAAAAAGAGTAAGTAATTTCTTGTTTTCTCTTGTACATTTCTCTTTCTGAGACGTTACGTTTTAGAGAATTTCAGCTACTTGTTTTCCACGTTGTGACACTCATGTATGATGTTTGAAGTTTCTTCTAAGTAATGCAATGGGAGAAATGAAAAAATAGAAACAGCAGAGAAAACCCTTTTAACATGGGTTACATGGAACATGGGAACAAAAATACATAGGGAAGAATGTATTCCTTATCTATAAATGCACTTTGTCTTTTTATCCAAGTGAATTCAGTGTCCACTAGGGTAAGAATTCAGTGTCTGCTGAATTAGTTTGCTAACAGGAGTGAGTGATTATGGGTAATACAAGACATCATCCTTAGGCACATGACTGCTGGCAGGGAGCAGGAAGAATGTGTCTGCTTTGATGCCTTCAGCCTCTGAAATAAAATATTTTCAATGCAGCTTTTGTGCAAACCTATGTCATCCCCTCTGCATACAAAATTAACAAGCAGACATTTCTGTAACTTATGAAGTCATTCCATTATTTCTAAAGCCTTTGAAGCTTCACAGGCTTTACAAATGTAGCTAATCAAAACAAGTAAATAATGTTACACTTACAGAACTGTAGCAGATGCACCAACCTTTAGGTCTGCTTCAGAGAGCAATTAGCTGCCGTTTTTACACTTTAAAAAACAAGGGAGGGGGCATCATTAAATGTAAGCTGAGAGCTATTTAACAAAATGTGTTAAATTGCTCCATTTAATAGGCTTGAGTGAACTGACATGCCTAATTAGCTTCATCTATTTTACACAATAATCTATTTGCTCCACCAACTTGCAAAACATTTATAATACTGTAAATGATTACGGTAGCATTAGCAACCTTATCACTAGAACTGAAATACAGCCCAATTGAATATTAGTAATTAGTATGTTTGTTCGACATCAGATTAGAACTTCCTGCTTTATTATACAGAAAGGCAGTAGCTCGTTCCTAACAGATTGGATATATTGCATCTGATTGTACCTAGATAAAAAACGCTTTAGAAACACAAATATCGCATCACCTGTGGTTTGACACATTTCCAATTTAGGGAAAATGTATGGCTAGATATTGCCAAGTAATCCCATTCTTGAATTCTGAAGAAAACATTTTGTTGACTCAGATTCTACATTACTTGAGTACCTGAATGTTTCAAGCTTGTAGAGAGTCTGTATTGTATAGATTTATACCAGAGAGAAACGGTGAAGGACTGAAAGCTTCATACTTTGCTGGCAGAATGAACATACAACTGATGAAAACTAATGAAGAGCATTTTTTATGGTAGAATCAATTTCAACAAAAAAAGTTGTAACAAGTATCCTTTCATCCAGAGTAAGAAGGACATATCATTTAAGTAGTAATACTGCTGCCTATTGAGGTGTAGCTCTGGCTATATTACTAGAAAGCAACATTCCACCCCATTTTTTGTTTTTCTGTCTCTGAAATGACAAGCTGGCAGAGCTCAAGATTCATACTTTTAAATCTAGTCCCTTGAACTCCTCAACTGTAGTCTCCATATTTATTCTGGTATTCATTTTCATTCCCCTCTTCCCCTGTATTTTGGAACTGACCTGAACTCAGTTTCACCGCCTGGTCTTAGGAAATTATGTTTATTACCAGGTTTCAGAGTTTTGAGCAATCTGTGTCTAGTATTGCTGGTTACAAAGAGGTTTCCCCAGCTTTCCCTGTGAAACAAATTCTAGTGAAAGACATGGACATAGAGTTTTCCCGTTGTATCTAAGAGACTTCAGCTACAGATACACACTTACAGTGACATTCAACTACCAAGTGAAGGTCAAGAATAAACTATTTTTCCTAGTTATTGATGGGTAATGGTAATAGGATTGCTGTTAGTTGGTGAGATACGTCAATACCAAAACTGTTTTACTGTGGTGCTCTAAAAGCTTTGACAATAAGTACCAGAGCTGTGCAGACTGAGCAAGGGTCTCATGGTCAAGAAGTATAGTGAATTTCTTTTAAGAAATACCACTTAGGAAGTACACGTCAGAACAATAAGCCTGTTCCAGATTCCTACTTTGAAGAGGTAAAATTGACTAGCATGGTAACGACCAGTTAGCTCAAGTCTAAATCAAAACATAAGGTTAAATCTATGGATGAAAGAAATATGGATCATTAGAGCATCCACAAAATGTGTACCCTAATTAATATATTACTTTTCAGACCTAACAATTGCTCTTCCAAAAAATATTTCCACCACTGCCTTTCAGAAAGTCCTCATACCACAGATACACTGGCCTATCCCTTATAAAACTGAAAGTATCTTCAGACCGAAGTCCTATATTCAGATGAATGACTAGATTAAATATATATATTTGTAGGCCAAAACCATAACCTATGAAGGGCAAACCTTGTGACATAATCACTTTGAGAGACTTTATCAATGACTACATATATTCTTGATTTTTTTTTTAAATTTTCATTAAATCATAATTAATATTTTACAGATCCTAACTTCTGAAATGATATGTGCATGTACCAGATCAGATAAATACATGCTCAGAAGGCTTTACACATCTATGTAGTTATGGTGCAAGTAATCATAGTAATTGTGCGTGCAAATCTGGCATGGATTTGTGCACATACTGTTTAGAAAATTAGAGCTATAAAATCTATCAAGGGAAACATATACCTGAAGTGATTTTATCATTAACAAATGGAAGGCCAAATTCTCTAGTTCAATGGAAGAGAGGATCAATGCCCAAAACACCAACTGATTTAAAAATATATATTCATTGGATCAGATTTTCAGGGACTAATTTAGTATTGGCTAAAGTCTATTTTTGAATTCAATGATAAAATGCCTTGTAATGAATTAAAAAAACAGTAATTCTTTTAAAGAGTATCTTGTCCATGAAATAAAAGACTATGCTCAATATTTCCTATATACAAGAATATATATATACCTTGCTTTACTTGGACAGTCAAGACAGGTTTTTATTCTGTATAAATTTTATCCTGGTTTATAACTTTTAATAAGAGAAGATACTAACAATAAAAATACAGGAGTAAATGTTGGAAATATTTGGGGAAAAAATATTTCCCTTGGTTTAAAACAGTTTTCTTATACTTGATAACCCCCAAAAAGGATATAGTTCTAAAATAAAAGGAATGTACTCAGAAGCATTTGCTACTCTTTCTTAGGCAGAAATAGTCAGCTAATGGAATACTGATGGCAGAATGTGAATGAGAATAGCGCAGAAGTAAAAGCATGTCATAATTGTTACTGAAGTCAAACAGAAAACAAAGTTATCAATTGCGTAATACACATTTTTTTTAATATATATATATATGTTCTTTCATAATTATAGATGGGAAAACTTGAGCAATTAAACTACAATATTTTAGTGCTAAACTTAGCATTCTAGCTGGCCAATGCTAACAGTTTTGTATCACCTTTCTGAAGAATGCTCAGCAGCAATTAAATGTAATGTTTCCAAAACCCATATTTTTACGTTAAGCCATCAAAGCCTTATGATGCAAATGAAAGTAAACTTACACTATTTAAAGAAATCTGTTATAGGTACTTGAAAAATTGATCAACTTTCCTAGTATTCCTGATTCAACATAGCATACCAGCTTGCTAGGAAACATGCATTTGTTTCAGTTTGCAGATTTCAGTGCCTATTTAAGCATCTCGCCAAATCAAGACCTCAGAGGCTAGATGCAACGGCTACCACTTCATCAGATGTCATATTTACTTTACATTTATAAAAATATCCAGCACAATAGGCGCTTTGGTAGAGGTAGCCCACAGCAGATCACTGACTTGACTTGTTAGCTATCCAGGACGCAACTCTAGCCTTACTAGTTCTGTCTGATTTAAGAATGGCTGCTCTTCATCAGGACATTTTGCTCTCACTGTGGGCTTTCCATCATCAAATCCGTTGACAAGTTCTTCACTGATGGAAATCAGCCTAGATTCTCTACAAAACTTGAGGCGTTACATGTATGTATATTACACTCCAAGCTGAACAGACAAATAGTCTAATACAGCTTTGGGACTAGGAACCCCTTTTCTAATCCTTTTCCCATTATATGTGTTAAATATTTGTAATATTGCCGCCTGAATTTCTCTATCTGCAAAAAGAGAAAAATGAAACTTGCCAACCTCACACAAGGATGTGGCTTCTGAAGTGTTCTTAAATGTTCTGAAGACAAAATCTGCATTATAAAGTTAACTTTATTGTTGGAGCAATCTAAGACAACCAAGGAGTTCACAAATTGCTATGGGCTTGTCAGTGAGAGTTCTCGGCTGTACAGCTTTCCTGTTGCTCATAATAGCATCAGCTTTGACCAACAGCATACTGTGTGAAGACTGTTTTTCTGAAGAGGTGTAATGTTTTCCAGCTTCTCCTTCCAATGTAGGAAATAAGTGAGTTGTGATCAATGAGAAGTGGAACATCTCAAAAGGCCTCCTGATCCAATGCCTGCTTATCTAGAAATGTAGATACAAAGACCGTATCACTCTACAGTTATGTTGTTACTATTTTTTTCTGAAACTTAATTCTTTGTACATACATCCGGGACTTTTTTTTGTTGTTTTGCCATAGAGTACTGGGTAATATCTCTAGTTTGAATTAATTGATTTCTATCTGACAAATGTTAAAAATAGCACAAGGAAAAGACACCACCAAACAACATACATTCTTAAAACAAATAACATATACAATCAATAAAAATCAACACAGATAGTACTTATTGCTTATGTTCCTCTCAACCTTTCAGTCTGCTAGGGCCATCAGCCGTGTTTTCTGCTGTTTGGCTGTTTTCTTTATTAGAGTCAATCAGATGTCTAGATCACATGCACATAAGGCTCCATATATCAATCTAAAAATGTTAGAATTTAAAGTGCAAGACTAAGATACATTTTTGTTCTAAACTGGAGGGCATACTGTCTGCTTTCAATAACAGAATAGATGTCAATACTGCAACAAAACCAGCCTCTAAATTTTGAGAAGCAAAAGTTTATTTGGTTAGTTGCCTTTATATACAGAGTTGAATAACTTAGAAAAAAAGGAGTTGTTTCTAGGAAGGAGATTTTTTCCGTTTTGGCTACAGCATCATGCTGCCTCAGCAGGGTGCACACACCACTTAAAAATTAAGCCCATTTTCTCTCTTGACTGAAAATGCACAGGATACCTAACAATACGCCAGGTTCCTATCTTAACAGACTGATGAAATGTCATAATGGTCTTCTGTGTTGGAAATCATGTTTTTAGTCAGATGACGGACAGCTATAAACAACAGTTTAAATTATTTTAATGAAATTATGAAATGTGGAAGAGCAGACAAAAATGTCAAATAGGTTCACGTAACAAAAACTGAGGACAAGTTTGTTTCTGTATGAGTTCTTTTGTCTTCTCAGTTCTGCATAAAATGTATCAGGCAATATGTCCAAATTTGAAGTGTAATGATCATAAAAATCACCATGGTAGCTGGGGTGGTGAGGGTGGGGAGCCATGCATTAATTTAAAATTATTGCTATTGAGATCTTTTCTGTCAGTTAAAATTTACCAGACACTCCAACAACTCAAGTGTAGGAAGGTAAGATAAATAATAATGAGCAGTCTTTCTCTGTAGAAGCATCATCTGTGCCATGCCAGCAATCACAGCCTGTTAGAAAGAGCAGTTCATTTAGCTGCTTTGCGCTTGGTACAGCATTGGCACTATTTGATAATGAATGCATCCCCTTTGTTTAGCAATCATGATTCATTGTATTTGTAATTTATCGATCACAGTGTTTTTAGCCCTGCTAATTCAAGTTGCAGCTGTATTTCTAGATTATGCAGAGACCATATTTCTCAAATACAAACTACCACACTCAACCCTTTTCAGTTTCTTAGGTAGGGTAGATTATGATCCATAAGGGAACTTGAGTAAATGGAATTTTCAAGCAGTAAAGACAATGGGCATGTAAATTAATTCATGTAAGAAAAAAAAGTCCTGTTTCTAAAATGTTCCTGAGTTTATTTATATACCTGCTAATCATTTTTCTTGTTATCACGGCAAACTGTGATCCACCCAACTGATTACAACCTACACAAAGGGGTATATGCATCAGAGATTATTATTGGAACAGTAGTGATTTAAATTATTCTTCCTGTTTTAGAGAGTCAGCAATTGGACCACACTGCCCAGGGCTTTTTAGCTCCTCTGTCTTTTGAAGAGGTAAAACTAAGTCCTTTACCACTTACAGCTCTTAAAAATACCAAAGAAAACAACCTGTTGATAACCACAACAAATGACCGAAATCCACTGTGGGTAATTCAATTCATTTTGCATTACATTTGATAGAAAGCCCGAACTATCTCTATTGGCCAAGAGGTTCATACAGTACTGCAGATGTTCAGTTCCACCTGGAGAAAGCTTAATTTCAGAAGCAAATGAATGATCTTAATATACTTCTATGTAAATAGTTATAAAATGTAAATTTCCAGGAATTAAAATAAAACTGGTGGCGTTGCTCAAGGTATGTGCCAATAGTAGTAGATGGTGAAATATATCAGGCTATAGAAAGTTTGGGCTAAATTCAGCTCTAGTATAAAAAATTGCTATTAGGTCAAGCTCTGGTCTAAAGCCCTGATGCTTGACTGGAAGAACAGTTCTTGTCTGTAAAATTAAGAATGTGTTTTAGTGCTTTACTTTTAAGGGCCTGCATTTTTTTGTTTATTGTTATGAAGTAAAAAGCAGTAAATAAATGGAAGTGATTGAATTTTTCTTGTTTCTCATCCTTAAAACATTTTTTTTAATTTCTACATAACAAACTGCTTGTTGCATTAAAGAACACGAGTCTTAGGGAGTAAGTTTTATAGATTCAGAAAATCACCTTGTATTTGATCATAGTCACTTTTCTTTCCCTTTGCTTTAAGCTGCTCATTGCTTGGCAAGAAATAGCTACTTGTAATAAAGACATTTCCCAGGCTAAAAATTAACTTTGTAGGAAAACAGTTGGTCCATTATGTGAGTACCTCTTTTCTAAACTAAGTGTATATATAAAAACTATTTTCAAAGAGTACATTAGATTCTAGATACTGCTTCTGTTCATAACTGAAGCTATGAATATTAATTCCCTGACCTGAAGATCAACCCTTGATGTTTTGGAGGAGAAAAATGTCTTTTTATTTTTCACTGGAACCGTAAGAAAATGAAAGATGGGTGACATCAGCATTAGGTAGTCACAGTGCTGCTGCGACTCCTGTTTTGTGGCCTTCCCCTGAACCTTATCCCATCTCACATCCTCCTGCAGTACTGAGTTCTATCTTCTTAGTCAAAAAGAACTTTCGTAGAGCAATAGCAGGAAACCCGGTACCAAGAGCTATTTGCAGTCAGTGTCATTATTTCATTCCTTACAACCTCTGGTCATGTGATTTTTTTTTTTCCTTTCATATTTACTGGATAATATTAAGTCATGTATCGATTTTTGGCTGTCCAAATGTAATCAAAAGGCTTACTGAGCCTATCCCTGACTTAGAGAATAAAGAAGTATATGCCATTCTGTGCACTGTAGAATGACAGGCCCTTTTGGAATTAGTGGATAAACTACAGTGAATAGATAGAAGCCAATGCAAAGCAAGTTTCAAACTGTTATTGTATATATAAATTAGTATTGTTCTTCTCCTTTTACTTTTATATCCTGTTTTGATTTTTTCCAACCTGTTTATTTGTTTTTAACCGCATCATATCAGAGGTGTTAGGTGATATATATTCTTTTAGATATTCTAAAATCCCAGAAAATTTTATAAAGGGAAAAAGCTGATATGACAGACTGGGATTTTTATCCTGTGAATAAAATGTCAAGAAAGAAATGTAATGTCCTTTTGTTGGCATTTACTAATTATTAATACAGTGGAAATTACACTCTCAGAATTTTTTCACTGGTAATATTTTAGAAAACTGAGATTATGAGCTCAGTCTCCATCTTTTACAGGGACCTCCTGGAGCAACTGGTGCTGAAGGCAGACAAGGTGAAAAAGGTGCAAAGGTAATACGTTCCAGATTTTTTTCAGGAGCACGGAAATGTAAACTATATATAAATGAAAAGTAAATTGCTTATCATGCACTGAGTGTGAAACTTACCAAAGTAATAATAAGTAAACTGTAAAATCCAAATTAAGACCCAGAATTAGTAGCAATACATAACAGAGTACATGGTGGACTCCCACCGGTGCAGGCCCAACTTAGCTCACCCCTGCAGAAAAGGAAGATGAGCATGCTTTGTTGACACATCTTTATATGAAGCTATCAAAATTTTGTTCAGAAAACCATCCTGTGCAGAACACTGTTTTAGAATAGCTTTTAAAAAATGGAGTGGGGAAACACTGCTCTCACTTTGCAGCTTGTGTATCATACAGTGCCAAGCTTAGTCAGCTCTGCTTCTTTGACCTGTTGCTTATGTTCTTTCTAGGGTGAACCTGGTGCAGAAGGGGCTCCTGGAAAAACAGGTCCAGTTGGTCCACAGGGACCTGCAGGAAAACCTGGCCCAGAGTTTTTTATTCCTGGCCCAGTGGTAAGGAGAGCATATAATAATATTTTAAATGTTGCATTTCTTGATATCCTCTGGTAAAGCAAACTTCATGTTTTTTCTAGGGAGAACAAGGTCTACCTGGAGCGCCAGGTCAGGATGGCCCTCCTGGGCCTCTGGTGAGTACCCTTCCTTTCAGTGCCAAAACAGAAAAAGCACCCTTTAAAATATACCATTAATGTGTCTGTGCATTTACAGAAAAATGAATGTACAAGTCAGTTCTTAGCACAAAGTCACTATTTTTCTATGCTGGTAAAATCTGATACACGACTGCCTTCATTCTACTTTAGTAGGCAGCTGTGCTGAACTGCTGTACTCAGTACTGCTGCTGAGTTATACCAGGTAAAAAGTGGAATAAGGCAGTGTAAAACCAAATTCTTGAAATGCCCTGAATAGAATTAAAAATAAAAATAAAATGAATTAAGCTTACAATCAAAAAAATCTACTTCTGTCCCCACATCAGCAAAGCTTAATATCTTAAATCATTTTGTTTCCTTAGCAGTGGTAAATTTTGTACATCCATTGATTTTAATGACTGCTAGTTTAGGGAAACATTATTCATAGGGTAAAAGTTTAGATTGTATCTATTCCTTAGAGAAAGAAAAAATAAATCAGAAATAGGGCCAAAGGGGGACTTCTACCAAAGAAGAAAACATGCTAGTTTTATAAAAATGAACAGCAGCATTGTGTCTGTTGTTCATTGTGGCATTCCCAGGAAATATAATCCATGACCAAAGTGTTTAAAAGGGTCTGAATGAACCAAGCTCCCAGTTTCTAGGGCATCTAGGGCATACTACAGTTCTGCTCTGCGTTAATAATGTAATTAAAGCAAGGGAAGCTTATAGATGACATATTATCAAATTATATCATTGCTTCTATTTACACTTGCTATTTTAGTGCATTTTTTCTAACAAGCTGAAAAAACACCACCGTGAGCACAAATTGCACAATATTGGTGTTCTTATTCAGCATTATGTGCAGAAATTCAAATCTAAACTATATGGCCAGCAGGTTAATTCTTCACATGTCAAGCAAAGGTGATCCAATTTAGTGGAAAGATCTCATATCCCTTGCTCTCCAAACTCACTGAAGCAGAGTTCCACTCTATTATTACAGTTGAGTGACACATTGGGAATAAAAAGCTTCGAAACAAAACACGGACTGTTATAGTTTGGTGGAAAAAAAATAAACAAGTGTTACAGTCTCAAGGCATTTTACAGTTTGCAAGCAGTGTTATCACATCCTAAGTAAAATCCACTTGGTTATTTTGGCCAGAAGAATAACTATGCCAACATATACAAGCAAGTTACTTTAGGAGAATAGGGCAATAAGGAGCTATCCTTCAGAAATGATGTGGTTCTTCAAGGGGAAAAGGAAGGCTGTGAGTAGGAAGCGTAGGAAGGAAATCCTCTGTTCCTTTTCCTATACGGATTTAGAGGATACAGGTCCTTGGGTAGCCCTAATATTGAAAGTTTTTGCGCTTAAGCTATATACATGAACTCAAAATCTTTCAAAGATTTTTTTTTGCCTCCCCAGGGGGAACTCAGGGTCTGAACATCAGCTATAAAATTTCCGTATCAGACTTCTCCAGTATATAAAAATGAAAGTGGAAAAAATGGGGAATTTAAACTGAAATGCTGCATAAATTAAGACTTTTACCCTAAACCAATCTTTCACGTTCATGTGCATATATGAACATGAGCAATTGCCTTTTCTTTCATTGACTAAAACACTTTCATGGGTGAAAGTATTTGGGTAACTATTTGCATTTCCAAAAAAGTTCCAAACACACAACTTCTTAACCTATAAGCAAAGAGTTTCAGAACATATATTTTTATGCCACACACACTAGAAAGATTCTTTTTTTTTTTTTTCTTCCATGAACAGTGATCTGGTGCATAGATGTATCTATTGATCACTTCTGTGTATATAATTATAGATGGTATTACAGTGGCACCTACATGACTTCATTTTTCTCTGTCCCTTAGAAAACAATAAAGAGCAAATAATGTGCTCATTACAGCTTACACTACAGCTCTTTGTTGCCCTTCATTTTAACATTCTAATTTTGTCTGAAGTCTCATGGATAACATATTGCTTGTAAGTCAGAGGTTGGGACCAACGAATTAGAAGCTGCAAGGAAAAGGACTCCCCTGTGCGAAGCCCATAATAAAAATCTCCTCTCCAATGAGCTTATGATGGGACCACCACCATAGTTTTTAAATGATGTGCCCAATTTACAAATAAAATGCATGGGGGACAAATCAGGGAACTGAAAAGTGATCTCCTCAGTTACAATTCCGTGCCGAAATCTAAAAGCCAATGAACAATTATTCAGCAATAATAAGCATCCCTTTCTCACATGTCAGTCACCAGAAGCCTCCAAATACATCATCAAAAGATCTCTCTTCCAACATTTGAGAGCTTAAATACTCAATTCAAATCTGAAGCTGAGTGTATTAACGAATTATAAACTCCCAAGTGCACAGCTTCCTGTCAGCTCAACGAGAACTTTTTTTAGATGTATTGCTGCAACTTAAACTTTATTTTGTATTTCAAGAAAGTAAAGTTTATGTGTAAAAGTTGCTGAGGTTAGGTCTCCCTCCTTACCCTCCCTCCCTCCGCAGCAGACTGCTATCAGGAGAAGAATATGAAAGCATATCTGCAGTAGACCACAACACACTGCAGGTGAAAATGTCTGATTCTGTATTCCAAAAGCTTAAAAATTTCATTCATGAATTATGTATTTGCCTAGGCTTTTGCATCTAATGATATCCTGAAGTAAAAATGGAAAGGATACGTACGGAATAGTATTTTGTACATGAAGTGTTATGGCACTTTTGAATCTGTGCCAGGTTGAAAAGGTCACTTACTACTGCTATCCATATCATAACTTCACAGATGTCCCCTGCCAGCAGGAGACTAGTAGTGATGAGATACTGACTTAGTCTAGCAGCTCTACGCCTAATGCATACATGTTCAGTGTGAGATTAATAGCCTCTGAGAAATGAATGCCTTTTCTGTGCTTGCATATGCGCTGCATGGCCTGAATTTTTCACCTTATTCTGTACAAATTACACAAAACCAGCACTGCCATTCTTATGAACCTCAGAAGATTTCTCAAATCGCTCAAAATTCTTCTAAAATTATAAATAAGGATTAAAATAATTTAAAAAAAAAAAAAAGCTGGAGAAAAAAAAAAAACCAAGGAGATTTTAACAAGCTTCATATATAATCTTTTTCTGTGCCATCTATCCAGCTATATTTTTGACTATTGGTAAAATAGTAGCTTTAATGGATTGCTCTTATGACCCCAGTAAAGATAAAAAAAGCACTGTCAGGGAAAAGAAGCTTGTGTCAAGTTATAACAAGATTATTCTGTGTTTTTTGGAAGGGATGTGCAGAAAGTAAGACCTATCCATGTGAATGTGTTTATCCTTCGCAGTAGTTTCCCAGGTAGCAAGACTGCAATGGAGTTTTCCAATAGATTCTCTAAGCATCAGCTTACATTGGAACCACCTGAAAAAAAAGTGTGTTTTGGATTGTCCCCTCCCCACACCCACCCCAAAAATATGGAAGGGCTTCTAGAATGGTTCTGTTGACCCTATGTTGGTTGTTCACAGCTCTGCCTCCTGCCCCAGCATATTTCTGTTTACAGAAATCTAGCTGCATGGAGTAATGTTTAGGGACAACTGCAAATAAAACTTAGAGTAAAAAGCATTTTTCACTCAGTTTCATAAAGTAACATATGTCTTTACTGTGCTGCAGAAAGGATGGCTTGTAAATACAAATTTAAAATTTTAAGTTGCATATATGATGTGAACCATGTAAGTACCTAAAAAGGTATCACTTTAACACCTCTATAAGGTAGGGGTATTATCTCTATCCAACAAATGAGGAGTGGAGGCCCAAAGAGACTAAGGCAGTTCCTAAAAGCATTTAGGATTGCCCAGACTAGTATTGCAAAACCTAAGTAATTTCTGTAACTAATCACATTTACAAAAGCAACAAAGGACCAGAAGCTTGTACGTGTCAGTGGAGCTAGCACACCTAGATCACCTTAAGTAAACTTGCAATGTTGAGTAGATAAGACTTGAATATTTAGAAAATATAGATTTAAATGCATTATTCATGCTCATAAAGGAATTTCAGGTGGCAAGTCAAGGAAACCATAATCCTAAGACAACACCCCAAGTACTGAAACAAAATATGAGGTAGTTCTCCGACAAAACAATATTGAGGAGCAGTTGTTACAGGCATTATTAGCATTTATATTCTGCAAAAATCTTACTGAGCTGTAGTAAACTGGGAGAAAATAAATTAAGAGGATGCTTTCCACTGTCTTATGAAAGAAAGGGCTAACACAAGGAACTAAAATAAGGTACAACAGTTAAGGTGGAAGTAATAACTGAAAGCATGTAATGTAACCACAAGCAAAATTAGGCTAATCAACAAAAAATTATTTGAATTTTTTTTAAATATCACTTGCTTCACTGGATGCTTTCAGTGCTGTTTAAGAATTTAGTTGACCCTCTGCTTCATAGATTTCTAATCATACAATTCTTTATAGATTTCTAATTATAAAGTGATTTAAATGCTACAGTGGCATCATTATGCCTTTTTAAACATACATTTCAACTTTATCTTGGGGCCTAAATCACATGCCATTAATTACAACCATCAACCACTGAATGACTCTGTACTTTGACTTAACACTGCCTTTAATAATATTTCAAGAAAACATGATCTGTGCAGTATGTTAAAACTTATTTTAACATTACTTCCCCTGATTTATTTAGGGTCCACCTGGCTTGCCTGGCCTGAAAGGAGACCCAGGTTCCAAAGGAGAGAAGGTATACTTTATTCATTGTTTGTGCCTTTGTAATTTTGATCCAGTCTAAAAGTCTGTATAAAATTAGCAGAAAGAAACACTAGGGGTTTTGTATCAGAAAGCAAGACAACTTACTGTGTCTATCAGTCAGCTTCCCATAGCCTTGAGAGTAATGAAGTTTTAAGCCACATCTGATATCCTGGAGATACATAGAAAGAAAAAGATTACTGCCTCTGTGGTAATCAATTGACCAGGTGATTCTTCCTTGCAATGAAAATCCCAAAGACACTGATGTAAAGAGAACTGTTCTACAAAAACAAAATAAGTAGAAATAAAAAGTATTCGAGATTCTTATTTTAAGACAACAAAATGTAAATATTTAAAAGCTATAATACTTTCTTTTGAAATAATGGATTGAGGCATCCGGAATAGTATTTTCTAATGGAGTCCCAACAATTTATTGCTTGCTTGTGTATCAGAGAAAAACTGTATAGAGAAAGGGATACAAATATGATTGTATCTTGTGAATTTCAGTTTTTGTTTATGTGCTTGGATCAGCTGTTTATATAGCTATATTACATGTGGGAAAAAATGCGCAACTCTGTAATATGCTTATAGCATCTAAATGTGAAAGTTGGTATGAAATTTGTACCCACAGGTATTGTTATTTCTGTATCAGTTTCAGTAAGGACTATGTTGCATTTAGATCTCTTTCACTGAATAAGTGGTCACAGCTTGCAAATAATCTCCAAGTCTAAAGGCCAACTAATAACAATGAACATGCTTTCAGAATAATTTGTTTTCAGGTTAATTGTTGTCTAGCAACAGTGATGACATTTGAAAGCTCTAATTTGTGTGTTTGCAAAGCACATTTACTTTATATATATTGAGTTTTAACTATATTTTCTTCTATCTTGTTTAGGGTCATCCTGGATTGATTGGCTTGATTGGACCTCCAGGAGAACAGGGTGAAAAGGGTGATAGGGGTCTTCCTGGCCCACAGGGATCTCCTGGAGCCAAGGGTGATGCAGTGAGTAAAACATACTTGTGTTTTCATTCAAGTTCCATGCAAGCAAAGAGTACGTATTCCAGTCTTTCTTTCAGAGACATAAAGGTGCTATAAACATGTAACACCCAGAGCCTCCTGCTAGAGGTTAAAACTTTCCTAGGCATTGTACAAACACAGTGAAGTTAAACAGCTTAACTGTACTGAGATCATAGAGTGTTTCAGAAGATGAAGGAAACACATACACCTAAGTTAGGGACGAGATAAAACTAGCAGCACCAATCTCCTCATGTTTATTAACTTCCTTTCTCCTAGTTATTAAGCCATGTTTTAAGGCACTATGTAAAAAGTGAGGTTTCCAAGACAAACTGAAGGGGAACACAGTCGTGACTATAAGTACTGCAAGTGTAAACAACTCAAGCTGTCAGATAATATTTTAAAGGTACAAACTATTTTGGACTCTAACAAATGGCCTAAATCAAAACTTGTCAGGGTTGGACACTTAGTAGGACTACCTTTTTCATAGATATGGATTTTTTTAATCCAGTCCAGTATGTAGAATACTTTAGTTCTGTACTTAGTCTCTTCTTCTTTCTTAGGGAATTTCTGGTCCTGCTGGTCCTCTTGGACCCCCTGGTCCTCCTGGTTTACCTGTAAGTAATTTCATCCAGTCCTCCTGTTCAAAACACTCCCCTGTTGTGTGGAATATACTCCAACTATATTTGTATGTTCTTGCCCGTAGGGTCCCCAAGGTCCAAAAGGTTCCAAAGGATCCAGCGTGAGTAATTTTCCTCCATATTTTTGGTTCTTTTACTTATCTTCTCTGTGTGTGGTTTTTTTTAACATTGTGTAGCATGGTCAACACTGCATTTCTTTCATTGCTTTATAGGGTCCTACTGGACAAAAGGGTGACAGTGGGTTACCCGGTCCACCTGGTCCTCCAGTAAGTAAGAACTCTTATTTGACATGCATGCACATTACACTGACATGACGACCCTATTCTGACACAGGTAGAAAACACCATTTGTGAACTTGCAGATAAGAAAAATATTAATGATTGTTTGAAAATTCATTTTTCAGGAAACACAGATCCACCAGACACAGAAATACATTGTCTGCACTGAAAAAGCCATTAGAAACTTAAAAAAAAACCAACACCACAAAAACCCCCACAAACAAACAAAAAACCCCCCTGCAATAATTATTTAATGTCTTATATTGAAGCGCAGGAAATGGAATGATTTTGGTTTCCCCCTGTTAATACTCTTCTGTTTCTACTATTTCTTTTTCATATCGTAACAATCTAAAATGAAAACAGTCTAAATCTGAATGAAGTGTTTCAATTTCTTGAAATTAAATATTGCTTTATAGACCCCAAGTGGAATTTTAAAGTTTTATCATAGGAAACATCCACTGTTTTCATTTGTCATAGGCTATGCCTGCGCTTGAGGGAATTGCCAGGGATAAAGAGACAATTGCAAGTCAGTTCTGCACACTTAACTTACGTGAGGGCAGCACACTCTTCCCCAACCAGCAATGTAGTGGGAAGAGTTTAGAGCACAACAACGGTTTGGCCTTCTACAATCATCTTTTTCTGCAAGTAAATCAAAGCACATAGGCAAAAATCTGAAGGAAATAAGTGAAATAAAGAAATAAAGAATTTGAAGAAAGCCTACAAAGCATCTCCAAGCCACATTCTGTGGTCTTCCTCTGTGTATTTATGCAGCTGAAAAACAAACAGAAAAGATAACCAGATATGTTGTTTTCCACTCAGGGCCCTCCAGGTGAGGTAATCCAGCCGCTGCCAATCCAGTCACCCAAAAAGACAAGAAGATCTCCTGATTACACGTTATCTGATGCTGGTGATAATATTCTGGATTATTCCGATGGCATGGAAGAGATCTTTGGTTCACTGAATTCACTGAAGCAAGACATAGAGCATATGAAGTATCCAATGGGCACTCAGAATAACCCAGCCCGAACTTGCAAAGACTTGCAACTCTGCCACCCAGACTTCCCAGATGGTATGTTAATATTGCATGACAAAGACAAACGAGGCTGAAGTTATGATCTGCTAAGATACTTTGGCAGAATAATTAATTATTGGTAGATGGTTAATATAGTTACCCAATAAATACAGTCTCATTAAAGCCATTTTTGCAGGTATAAAAGTTTATAAAATGTAAGAAAGAGATGTTGTCTTGGTAAAAGACAAAATTCTTTAAATACATAACCTGATCTGATTTTAGATTTAAAACTTTTAAAAGTGCTAAATAAAAAAACAGTTATTGTTTTGAAAGGTGGGCCTTGCATTTCCAGAACTATCCAAACAGAAGAGGGATGAAAGATTGATGCTGTTTAGATCAATGGAAAGTAAAATCACGAATGTCAGCATGCTGGGATAGCTAATAGCTTCTTTTAGAAGAAACGAGAATTATTTTAGTAGATGTATACTTCAGCTTAGCATAATAATAAAAAATAGCATTGGTATTATATGAGATCTAGTATTGATTATGACTCTCAAAAAGTTTACTATTATTTTATCCTTAGAAACAGTAATTTATTCTACTGCATGACCACTGTTTGTTCTATATCATTCAGCAAACAGACATGCAAGTTCCTCTGATACTGTTTAATGTTACTAAGTACTAGCTTAATAAAATGCAGAGTAGTATGAACAAGACACTGTGTTCTGAAGAACTATCTCGATTTAATTATTCTTCATTGTTTTCTTCTTTTTTTCTAACTAAGCTCACCCCTCTGGAAAAGTTTAAATGAAAGCCAACCTTCACAGAGTTTTCATCTTTTCATATTTTTTTCGATTGCAATGAGTATTTTTCCCAGTTCAATGTAGTATTTTTCTGGTTTTAAATGGGAGGAAGAATAGATTTTGACAGTTAATAATATTTTATTGCCTTCTCTCTAGCTAGATAAAAACAGATGGTTGCCTTGAGGAGTAGTTAAGCAGTGTATGTGCTATATGAAAAGTATGTATTTTACTATTCAGTACCTCTACAATAATGAATGGTTTTTATAGAACACATTCACCTTCTTCATTTACCAGTATTTGCTTATTATTTGGAGCTTTCTTCGTATCAAAGTAATCTTTTTTTGGATAAAATAAAAGTAAATGCATTCATTAAAATACAGAATTTTCCAGGGACAAGATTTACAGGTAGGAAAGACTGTTCTCAATAAACAGAGCCTGAATCAATAGAATTTTAGAATACCATAAATGCTTTGTCTCTGCCCTGTATTCAGAAGACAGAACCGGTGAAAGGATTTGTCATGCCTCTTTGAAACCTCCACTATTTGCTTGAAACTGGATTAGAACAGTAGTGTCAGAAAATCATTTGCTGTCCTGCTGTGAAACTAGCTGGAGATAAGGACCCATATCACAGAAATGATCATTATAATTAAAATGGCAGATTTTAAAAAGTGCTGATTTTTAATGGGCCTTGGATAGACTGCAGCTCTCTCTCATCCCCAGCCTTCATTCACCCTAGCATTGTAGGGCCTGAATTCTCAATCATGCCAGTCTGGTAGGACTGCTGAAACTATGGGAAGCCTCATGCCAGTTTTAACTGTCTTTCCCACTATGTCACCTAACCAAGCATTAGTTAAGGTGTTTTTATCAACTAAAGCAGCCTGAAGTTTCACTAGTGTTGCAGCTTCGCAGCATCTTTGCTTGAGGTATATCTCTCTCAATGGAAGCTTTAGGTACTTGTGCCAGCTACAACCTCACCAAGCCCTGGGCGACCAACTTTTTATGTAGATAGGTATGCAAATGACTCCAGATTTTGCTCTCTGACCTAAGCCATAGCTTATTTCTGCCCAAGACTGCCTCTGCTCTGTTTTTGAGAGTGCTATCACGACAGGCACAAATTATCCTTCTAGCTGAAATACTGAAATGGCCAAATTGTTGAGACCTGCAAGGTATGTCTCACACGTAATGTCCTTCCTTCTCTAGACTGAGGTCTCCGCAGTTCCTCCAAAACCTCAGCAGTATCCTGCAATACATTCATGGTTTGAAGTAAAATTAAAAAGGACACAGATAAAAATAGACTTTGATCCTGGTGTTATCTTTCATAAACAACAACAGCAAAAAATCACAAGGCAGAAAAGAAAGGGTTGCTTTTTCATCATTCAGATAAAATAATTTTGCTACAAACTTTGGAGGACCATTAGGTAGCAGTAAAACCTGTACCTTCAAATACCATTTCTACTATATAAGGCAAATATTTTCTCATTTGTTTTAGGGGAATATTGGATTGATCCTAACCAGGGCTGTTCTGGAGACTCCTTCAAGGTATACTGCAATTTCACAGCAGGTGGGGAAACTTGCATCTACCCAGATAAGAAATCTGAAGGAGTAAGTACCAATCTGTGTTTTCAGTTGGCTGTTGACAGATCCTACTATGCGGTTGCAATGTTGAACTAAACAGGATAATTATACTGTCACATTTTCATATATCTGTCTTTCTGATTACATTGAAATTTGCATAAATCTGAATGAAGTGATAAAATGGTACATAGAGTTAACAAACAGCATTTTCACTCTTTAGCTTAGGGAATTGATGCACCTGCTTGCTAACCTTTCACTGCATTTCAGAGCGCAAAATAGCTGTGCAGCCAGTTGAAATGCATAATCTAGCATTTGACACCTAAAAGCTAAACTCTTACTGTGTTTCTCTTGTAGGTTCATTTATATCTATTCATTTATACCTATGCAAAGCAGATGTAAAACACTATGTATTAACAGTGTCCTCACTCATTGTTATAAATTACCTCTGATGGGGCACATGGTGTAGAGGAAGGCTTTCTAAAAGCTTGCCTAAATGAGAGAGATCTATCAGCATCAACACCAGTGAAAACTTTAATTTAGACACTCTTCACAGGAACAATTTATACCAGCAGTTTACCTGAATCTTAACAGATGACAACAGTCTCCTTTAAATAGAACTAGCTCTCTTTATAAGCAATCACCTTGGATTCCATTTAAAGTAACTAATCTGAAGGCATTCTATACAAGAAAAACATCCTATTTTAAAGCTTTCATGAGGCTGAGATCTCAGAAGGAAGAACCATTCTTTACTATCTGATGTGAAATTTGTCCCAGATAACGTAAAACTTTCATATCTGTTAACATATGTTTTAAATACTTCTACCTCTGCTGTTTTACCACACAGGTTAGAATTTCATCATGGCCAAAGGAGAATCCAGGATCTTGGTTTAGTGAATTTAAGCGAGGCAAACTTGTAAGTTGTCACTGCAACATGACAGTTATTCACAAATCAAGTACATGTTATCAGTGATCAACAAATCCCAAGGAATTTTATAAATGTTTAGATAATGAAAAGACTTTTCAGTTCCCTAAATATTAGAGCAGCTTTATACGGCCTCTTGCCACTGAACAGCAGGAGTCCACTCTGTATTGTCCCACAGTGATCCCAATGCACAGATGGTGGTGAGGATCTGGCTTCTGGCAGACCACACATCACCACTGAACATTAGTAAAGCAGCTGGAGCACAGATCCCCTACCCCGTTCTAGGTAACTGGAAATATACTGAGTATGCAAAGATGAGACTGCAGGCTGATATAACTTTATAATTAACTAAAAACAGATTCCCAAACAGACTCTGCTGTTTTACACTATATGGTAGGAGTAATTCTGTGTCTTCCCCACTAGAATGAAGGTAAAATATGTAGCTCTTCATCCTAAATATATTCCTACAACATGAAAATCTATTTACTGAGTGATAGCTTCACTGAACTTTAAAAGACCATAAAATGTTATACATTGGTTGATTTTTTATTAAGGACAGTTGTGTGGTTCTTTTGCATTTTAACAAAGGAAATAGATAAATATTCACGTAACTTCCTGTATTTTCCAGCTTTCCTATTTGGATGTTGAAGGCAATTCCATTAATATGGTCCAAATGACATTCCTTAAACTACTGAGTGCCTCTGCCAGACAAAATTTCACTTACAACTGTCATCAGTCCGTAGCTTGGCATGATGCATCATCTGACAGCTACGACAAAGCGCTAAGGTTCTTAGGATCGAATGATGAAGAAATGTCTTATGACAACAATCCTTACATCAAAGCTCTTCACGACGGCTGTGCAGTAAGTAGAGGTTCAGAAGAGTCTTTACGAAACCAACCTGTCAAAGTAGAAATCAAACAAATTCATTTTTTCACAGCTTTCTTCTGAGAAAAGCTTTCTAAACACTTTATTTTTAATGGACTGCCTTTTAATAGATTTTTAACTACAGTACACTAGTCCCTTATTCAATTTTCATATAGGTACCAAAAAAAAAACACCATAAGCCAAGCAACAGAAATGGAACAAACCTGGCATGGATACAGGCTGTCAGCACCAATGTGCTGAAACTAGACTATCTGCTAGCACGAGCGCAGAATAAGAGAAGAACAGAAGCAAAAAAGCATAATCAGGGGAGGCAACCCATCAGCAGAATATATTTATACTCAAAATCAAGGCATGCGTAGACAGAATACTTAGTGAATACAGTAAAAACATGTATGAACTAAGCCATACATACATACCCAAACATAGTAAATTAATTGCATAGTTTGATATGTGACTTTGTATTTCCTTTTCTCATTTTTTGGTAGTCAAAGCCAGGCGAAGCTTGTGGATTGTACCTTTCAGAATCCTCTCTTAGCTTGGCTAAAATCCCTGAAGCTGTCCAAACATGGATCAGCTCTCTGACCACCTCTCCAGCAGGGTCTTTGTAGGCGTAGCAACTATTACCTCTTTTCAGAAACAGAATGGTTTGTACTGAACACTTTGAAACAAACACATCAAAGGAGCAAGTGACAGTTGAAGCCTCATTAATTATTTTGCGTTTTGATATGGGAGCGTTTTGAAGGCAGTTCCTGAGAAGTCAGTGATACAGAATCAGAGACCCGAAAGTGCCAGGATACATACCTGGCTCTGAGACAGAGATGCAGCTCAGGTAGATACAGAATCTCCTCCCCTCAGTAATGAGATTCTAATACATAACTGCATCATGTCAGCCTTTCTGTATGTCCTGTATATTTATTTTGCTTTTGTTATCCACAGTGGGCGAGTGTAGAGCTCCAGAGAGAGCTGGAAGTGATTTAGGGTGTAACCCCATCACTAAACTGAGAACATTTAGACCTACCAACTTGGATGCTCATGTAAACTCCAAGACCCTGGCATAGCTGAAAGGGGTCTCAGCAAGATATAACAGACCATCTGAAAGAAGTGCAGTCCTGATAACTAACATGAAGACTTGGGTGGATGATATTTAGAAAAGGGAGAGAGCTCCTAACAAAGGAGAGAGCCTTTATAAGGAAGTAAGGGTGTGCCTTCAAACCTGGTTTCTAAGTGCATCAGTTGGCAGTCCTGTCAGACTAGTCAGACTACTACCTTCTTCCATGTCCAAACAGCTGCTGTAGTATTTTGTGAGACAGTCTTTCTTCTTAGAAGGGGATCTTTCTTCTGTCTTTCAGAACTAATTAGTGATTTCTTCACAAGGAAGACATGCACACTGCTATGAGAATATTGTTATTATTTATTCAATAGTATAGATGCGAACTCAGAATTCTCTACGAAACATTTAATGTCTTAGATAATTTTTCGTATGTAGGCCTATTTTAGTAAGTCAAAAAGCTATGGGCCAATCTCTTTCTAAAACCAAAAACATTCCATGTCACATTTTTAAAATAAAATCCTAAGAAAACATAAATTTTAGAGTTTGTAATATCTGGTGCATGAGGGGGCAATAATTTATAAATTCTACACTTGAGAGATAACCTGTGAAGATCTACAGCACACACTTGCTGCTCTGATATATAACCATGTTTGCTTTTTTTGCTTCTTTTTTAACAGTCAAGAAAGGGCTATGCAAAGACAGTGATCGAAATCAACACGCCCAAAATAGACCAAGTGCCTATAGTTGATGTGATGATCAATGACTTTGGTGATCAGAACCAGAAGTTTGGATTTGAGGTCGGTCCTGTCTGCTTCCTTGGTTAAGCTTAAGACAAAATCAGATCAACAAAAATGTTGCACTTTGGTGCTACCAACCCACTTCATGCCACATGCAAGTTTTGAATAAGGATGGCATAGAAAATATGTCTTGCTGTGTATGTATGTCTTATCTAGAAAGTAATTGTTGCCCTTGTAGGGCCAGAATCACATGACTTAAACTTGTTTTGCAAAGATGCTGTGGCACAGACAGACAACATAGGGCTCACTTTAGGAACACCCCCCTTTGGATTCATTTGGTGCTGTAAAAAAACAAATGACATGGTGCTCCTTCCACTACAACAAAGAGGTGTTAAGAAAGTGTTTAATAAACTGTAATTATTCTGTGTACAGTACTATACTGTTATTTCTCTGTCCATTTCCAAAACTTGCATGTGTCTCTGAATTGCATCTGGCTCTTATTTTATAATCACAAAACTAAATTGTCAATACTGTGTATGTATTCTGAAAAAGTAAAGCTGTAATTGCCAGTGAAGCCAACTCCATTTCTGATTAATAATAAAATCCCTTTGTATATATTGTTGTTGAAGAGCTTTGTTATTTGAAGTCGCCAACAAAACTTAAGGTGGCAAAACTGGAAGATCTTGAGCAGCACACTCAAACAACTCTTTTCTGCTGATATCACTCTGTGGTGATGAATTTCAATAGTGAAAGCACCTTCAAAGGTGCTGTGTTCCATGGTGCTATACCTCAGACTTTTTCTTTTCTAATTCCAGAATTTCGTAAGATGCATGTATATACCTAAAATAAACAAGTTTATATTTTTGGGCGGGGAAAATGTGTAAGAAAAAAAACAACTACTGTGTAAGAGATCTGTTAAAAATCTGTGTGAAATAAATCAGTCATATAGCTTTCCTTTTTTTTTAAAATCTCATCTGAATTTGTTTCCATTGTGCTTATTTGGTCTGCATAAATATTAAAACTGGATTCTAAACAGTTATTTATGGATTTTTGCAGTGTTTACATAGATTTTTGTGTAAGCAATAATGGATGTTTCCTTCCTGAACTCAATACTAAAAGTTCCACAAAATGGTCCTATAAAATATTTGCCCATCCCATTAATATGAACTACTTTTTCCTGTTATTTCACCTGAAGGCCAGGGATGCAATATGTCTAGGTCATGTGATTCTAAATAGTTGCTAAGCAACATACGAAGGGACTGCTTCCTACAGAGCTGTCTTTGACCCAAACTGTTACAATTTGCTATTCAAATCTCACAAAAAAAAAAGTTGGTTTGGCCTTCCCTCTGAACATTTTTATTCAGGTAGTTGGAAGTAGAAATTACATTTTAGCTTTACAACACAAATCCTTTTGTAATTATTTTTCATAATATATGTAAGACTTGAAAAGAAATGTTTGTTTCTATTTCTTATAAATTGTTAAATTAAATAGTACTAGTTTCTGCTGGCTCATTTCCAACTGGTATTTTCTTACGCACGTTTTACATGTAAAAGTGAGATTTCAAAAGTCATCTTCTTGCTGTTCATACTTTCTTTTACTTTTGAACCAAAGTTTGTCACCTCAAAGAGGAAAATACAAATTTTATTAATAAAATCAAGTCTTGTCTACCTGGGTTGGTCATTCTCTTTTTTCAACGTACAAAACTCACCCACTGTTATTACTGTAAGTGCACTCTGCTTCCAGACTCAAAAAAAGTGATCTTACTACACGTCCTGGCAAGCACGGGGCAACAGCACTGGAAAGGGAAGTGTTAATAGAAAAGATGCTGATCTGGCCATTGGCAGTATGCAGCAAGGCTGATAATTTCACATTTAGTTTGTATGGATTTGTAGCTGCAGCAGTCCACATAATACTATCAAATACAAGATAGGAACCCGATATCCCTTCCCCAGCCACTCTCTTACAACCTATAATGTCTGAGTGCTTCACAATCTTGTGCTTATCCTTGTAGGATCCCATAAGGTAGGCAAATGACCCTATTTATTGATGGGAAATGGAAGACAAGAACTAGACCAAGACCTAGAAAATACTGGAACACAAAATTTCCAGTACCTTGTTTTAGATAGTGGAACCAGAACTGGTGATGGGTCCAAGCTAGAGACATGACATATGTCACCTGGGGCCTCCTCCAAAACGGTTTATATTTTTTTAATCTGCTAACTGTTCTTTATGAACTCTGGTTACGTCCACAATAGCTGTGAAAGCAGCTCCAGTAAGTTTGGCAGAGGAGCAGCTACTTTCTGCTGCTCAAGTGGGCTAGGTTAAGTCAGGTGCTAGCTGTTCAACCATATCTAAAAAAAAACCACTTCTGGGTCAGGTGCTTTAGGGTGATTCAGGTAAAAAAACTAAAGATACTTGTGATTTGGCAGAGTCAGGATTAAGCTGCAAAAGAGTGGTGTTTCTAAGAGTGCAACGGTGTATGCAAGAAGCCACATGAACGCAGGTCTTTCCAGAATTAGTCAAACTATCTTGCCAAGGTTCATGCTGACAACATCCCAAAGGAGGAAATGAACTTGAGTCTTCTACACCTCTCAGGCAAGGACTCGTCAGGTTTATTCTTTAGCCTTTCTTAAAGGCCTTAGCCAGGTACCTTACTATTTATCCTTGTCATGAAAGCAACTCACCACCGCTAGTTATTCTAACTCCTCTTTGTCCCTTCTCTGTTTCAATGTGCTGTTCTTGTTCTCTCAAAGTTTCTGATTAAAGGGGAAAAATTGCCATTATATATCCTTGCCTTCAAGCAAAAATTATGCTATTTATTTTTCCCCTCAACAGAAGTCTCGTATTAGCAGTGTTTAAAAAAAAAAAAACCAAACCAAAAAGAGCACTCTTCAGAACAGAAAGAAATTTCACATCTAAACTCACACATTAGTCTTTCTGTGAAATAAACTTCGGATTCTGTAGTCAAATCCTACTAGCCATAAAAGCATAGAACCTCAGATTCATCATACGCTGTTATAAAAAAGAAATACCCATTCCAAAACTATGCAAGCTACATTCCTTACTCAACCAAGCCCATAAGAAAACAAGCATCAATATTTTTCACGCCACAAATTAAAAACTTGTGTAATCACAAAAAGATTGAAATTGCTATATGACATCTGGATTTTACCTCTAGAAGCTGACAGAACGGAACTTGGATGTTCTGTGATCTTGAGGTTTCACCCTACCTCAGAGCAGACTGAGCAGTTTTTCTTGAAAGTTTGCTTCGAGCCTCTCTCTAAACAGAAAAGCCATACTGGAGATGGTGTACGGTTTCTTCACTGCAAATACAGATGTTGCTGTCATGCTGCATGGAAACGGAGTAAGTAGGCACACAACAAACACAAGCCAACAAATATTACCGACTGAGGCAATGTTCTGTCCAGAACAACATGGACATACGACAGAGATTTAAATGACAAGCTACATCTATAGAGGTATAAACTGTCCTGTGTGTGCAGGTGTAGTTTCTTCTCTCTCTCCTTTCTTTTTTCTAATTCAGGATAGGACAATATCAATTCATCATGATTGGCACATCTCTTGGAAGACTTCATAAAATGTAATGAAGGGGTTTTTTTCCGTCTACGTAGGCAGTCATTATGGCTAACATCAACAGTCACCTTGTGACACAAAAAGCTACCGTTTCAAAAAATAAGCACAGTTATTTGCTTAAAAGTCTTGCCCTTGGGAACAGCTTTGTTAATGTTAAAATGAAGCTTCACATGCTAATGACTGATAGGAGATGCCTTAACAGCAATTGATTTTCTATTACAAGCACACTCCTTTTTCTGTGAAAGAACATCTTCTATTGTACATGCACCAAAAATAACTTGAAAATGACAAAGACAGGATATTAAATGTCATGTCTATTATATGTACCTGGAAAGGTGTCTTATTTGTGTTCCTCTTCTAAGAATATAAATTATCAAGGAGGTTCATTGTTAGTTTGGTAAAAAGCAAGGCCAAGATTATTGCAAAGGAATAGACGGCTCTAAAGCTATTTATTCATGTTGTTTTCAATAAGGACATCAAAGATTATTACAGTGGAGAAGGGTGCAAGCATACAGATATTCAGACATGCTGCTCTAGCCAAAATTGGGCTTGTTTTATTCTCAGCTATGTGAATGAAGGCTCTGTTCTAATGAGAGAGGATGGAGCCAAAGCCTACAATGCTACCATGAACATTTTGTCTAGGTTCTCACAGGAGCTTTGCCAGACCTTGACTTTGTTTCCAGTTTCTCAAGGGTGGAGAAGTGATCTCCATCAAAACACATCTAACTTCAGTAAGACAGACAGGACTTGTTAAGAATTCAGCAGTGGAACTGAGATCTAAGTGTCTTCTCTGCTTCCTGGTATGATCTAAGAAATCTTTTTTTTTTTTTAACATCAAAAAGACATTGTAGCTAAATCTTGCTAAAGCATAAAAGAACTCCAGCTTGCACAGTGATTAAAATGGGGATGAAAATTAAAATTCAGTCCATCCAATATGCTGCCATTACATTATACACTACTAAAACATAATTTATATAAACAGGAGATGACCAACGGCCCAGTCATCTGATAAAATCCACAAATAAGAAGTCAATGCATCTGTTTTCTCTTCCCTTTGTTGATGGTGCCAGTTGTTCTGTTCAAGTCCAGAGTTTACTCGCCAGGAAAAACCCTGAGTCTGTTATCTGATTTCCTTTCATCATCATTTGGTAATTTGCATTTTGGTGAATGATGCTGACTACTTGATCGCCTTTCAATGTCTAGTATACAATTCATGAGCTATTACAACCTAATAGTAGCAGTAGTTTTCAATTTCCTGATTGTCAGCCATTCTACACCGAAGTACTAATGTTACTGCTTTTTCTCATACTCAGCTGGTATTTTCAGAGCACCATAAGGCTCATCAAGGATAATCACTCAACCTCCTTCATGATTTTAAAACAAAAAACATCTGCCACAAACAGTATCAATAAACCCTCAACAGATAACAAGAAAATGGGAAATTAATCACCTTTCAAACGATACAGTAAGCAGAATAACTGATGGAACATTTATCATAATTTCTTCTTCTGTATACATTAAAGACGACTGGATGTAAGTACCTGTCAGAGTTCTTTAACTGCTTGCAAAGCCATCTTCTAATTTTGTGCTCTGGCCTTCGCTTTATGCCTTAAATGGTGATCAGTAAAATTAATTGCAAGAAGAAAACCAAATTAATTCTTCTCTAGCCCCAGAAGTTCTCTAAACTGGATCTTCTGCTGTGTTTCCACTGTAGTAAGGATGTAATGGGTAATAAAAGGAACCTTTCCGAATGCACAGGGCTGGGTCAACAAGGCTCCCAGCAGGAATGAACACAGAAGCCTCCCGCTCAGTTCCCATTCCACCATATGAGAAATACCTCATAGCCAGAGATCTTGAAAATTGCCACAGCACACCATGTGCTGCAGCAACGCTACGCCGTAGTGTTGTGTGGCCTGCGGACACCCAGCCTGCAAGCTCTGCAGTTCCCTAGCACAAGTAAAAAGTAAACATAGCTAGAGCAGAGGAATGAACACAGAAGCCTCCCGCTCAGTTCCCA